TAAATGTATCAATATAATAATCATTAGTGTATTACTTCATCGTTTTTTCTTATTTTTAAGATTATTTCCAAACTTTTTTTTTTAGTTGGGTTTAACAATAAAAAAAAACGGCTTTTTGTAGCGATTCAGAAAACCGGAAAAATCAGTTATCCGGAATAGCGATGGTCCCAACCGTTCCGGATAATCGGTTCCCTACTGTAATTCTAATTTTTCCACAAAAAGTTTGAAGACCTCTTTTTTTTTTAATTCAAAAATATCCAACATGTATTTTGTCTTTGCACTCTTAATGCAAATTGATGTTGTTCTAATTCTACTTTAAGTTATTATTAATAACTATAATTCTGGTTCACAAGAACCAAAATATTTTTTTTTCAACTCTCTTTCAAAAAAAATTTTGCTCCCATAACATCTATATGATGTTGAGAATATTGCTTGTATGATTTGCCAGATATTTTCTATATTTTATAAGCTCAGTTTTTGCTCATTTTATAGCAAACAGTTTTATATTGAAAGTTTATTTTCTTAATTTATTTTTCCACTTAATAATATGCAATAAATTTTAATTTGGTTTTTATATTCTTAAATTATCTTTTCTTCAATCTTGATTGAATTATGAATATTTTTAACCTTTAATTTTTCTTCTTTTCAGGATTGGGCTACAAATTCAACTCGCCAAGCCTTAGAGAACTCGGTGTCTTATACATATTATGGTAATTATCATGACATTTTAAAAATGTTCTTTGAAGTTATTGACTCTAGTCTGACGAGTTTACAAATGTTATTGATTCCAAATGTGAAAAATGAACTTAGGTCTATATTTTTAATTTATTTATTTTTGTATCAAATGCCAAGCACAAATATATTGAAAGAAATAATTGATTATAATTTAAGTCACTTTTCAAATTTTCATTGTATTATATCAGCCCATTTTATGAGCATCATATGTGCTTAAAAATGTTTTTATTATTTTAATTTATTTCTCCATATATTTTCAGTATGTAGATTCATATCTGTATTTAGTAAAAATATCTTATTGGGTAGAATTTGTTTTAGAATTAAGGTACAAATTCTTTTTTGTCAAGGAATAGTAAAATTAATTATTTTAATTCTGAAATGCTTTCTAACTTAGGATTCTAAATTGAACTCACAGATTTCCTTGTACCTTTTTCTTAGTGATAGAAACCATTGACAATTGTTTCATGCCCAATTGTCAAGGGTTCAATTAAAACTTGTAAAAATAATTATTGGGACATAATTATTGCAAAAATAATTATTGAGACAAAAGAAAAGATACAAGAAAAATGAATATAGCTTTGAAAGTTATCATAATATAGTTTACTCTTTTTTTTATTTTCAGCCTTGTATGGTATAATATTCTTCTACACATTCTTCATATTGCCATTAGCTTACTTTTCCTATGAAGAACAAGATGAAGACAATAGACCTTCAATTAGAGTAAGTCTTTTAATCCTTTGCCTGTATTCGAAGAGAAAAGACTACTTTTTGTCATAAAATGATAATACTAATTATGCATTTATTGATAACTTAAATTTTGTATTAAGAAGATTTGTTGTATTTTTTAGCTATGATAATAATATTTTATACTGGGAAATAAATTAAAAATTAAATTTGAGACAGTGGGCAAGTTCTTTATCACAGAACCAGTGAATTAGTTAGAACTGTTACTACATGTTTAAGAGTTAAAATAGTCCAATGAATTTAGAGGATAGAGAATGGTATGAATATAGAGAATAGAGATTTTTTTTTATGCAATTAAAAGAAATTTTAATGAAAAATTTATATTTTTATTTATTATGGAGAATATATGGCAATATGCAAACTGTATTTTTTATTTCAGCTTTTTCACTGAAATAAAATTTTAAAAATTAATTAGAATTAGATTATGTATTTGGAATTTGAGAATAATATTTGATATGTACTATTGTATTTTCTTTTTTTTAATTATTTTAATTATTGAAGAAAAATTACCAAGTAAAGAATTATGATGTCTTCTGAAAACTATGAACTCGATTGCTCAAAAAGTGGCTGTTTGTTCCAAATCATACTTGTAAAAGGTTGATGTTATTTGGTGTGTGCTACACTGGCTTTCTGTTTTAGAAGTCACCCATTTTGTATTATTTTAATTTATTTATTTTTAAAGCAAAACAAGGATAGAAATTAAGAAAATTAAGCTACTATTCTAAGGAACCAGCAACTAAACCATATTACAAGTTCATGCATAATTTCACTGGTCAGTTTGAATGTCTGTATTAGTTTGTTTGTTTTTTTGAAGTTATTAATGTGAATTTTTTAATAAAAAATTACAATTTGGAGAATGAATAATAATGATAAAATAAATTTTTTTTTAACAGTAACTCAAATACTGTTTGACAAAATTTAACTAATTTTTTGTCAAATATATTTGACAAAACAGCATACTATTATTTTACATCAGTTGCTTCTCTAGGGGTCCAATGATAGTTTATTTTATTGAAGTCTAAGACAAATTTTATTACTCCCAGATCAATGCACTGTTGCTAATTTCGCTCTTTGCTTAATTCATATATCCTCTCATTGTGAATTGTCTTAATTTTTATATTATTTTCCAGGTATTCACTACAGCTTTCTTGTACACTTTGGTATTTCTTCTGGTGATAGCTGGATTGTTGATTGCTGGGTAAAAAAAATTTTTTGAATTGGTAGAACTTTTTTTATTCCTTCATGAATATACAGTCGGACCTCTATTTAACAAAGTCACTAAATACCGAAAATAAGCTCGTTATGTGGAAAATTCGTTAAATAGAAAATCACCTTTTAAAATACTTAAGCAACACAAAACAGGTTTTAAATTCATAAACACTAGACATAATTAAAATAGCAATTGATGCACTTTTATCTTGTAAACTAATATCTACTATTTATCTTATAAGTCTTAACCATAAAAGAAATCAGCATGGAAAGCAATAATAGAGCAAAACATTATCCAGTGTTACATTATCGTGCTATATACATTTTCAACTGAAAAAAGTCTAAATTTATGTATAAAATTATAGTTGCATTTATTATAAAAGTAATTTTAAACATACATTACCACATGCGTTAAGTTAAATTGCTACGGATAAAATCCGTTAATTTGAACTGAGTTTTTCGTTTGAAGTGCAAACAGAAAGGGAAAGGGAATTTACTGCTTTCTCTAAGATAATTTTTAGAGAAGACAGTAATACATTTCATAAAGCAGTGACTTCGAAATTTAATTCAAGCTCATTTCCCCCATAAATTGCTTTAACAAGTTTAAAATGTTAAGAAATATTTTGGAAAATAGGGAAAGTGGATCTCAATGAAAAGTTCGTTAAATAGAAAATTCACTTCGCTATATGGAAGTTATTTTACAAAACAATTTCCAAAATGCACTTGGTTCCTCGAAAAAATTCGTAAGATAGAGAAATTCGTTAAATGGAAGTTCGTTAAATAGAAGTCCGACTGTATGTTTTGTGTTTATTTGTTTGAACAATATAGGTGGGAATTTTCTCAGTTTTAGCTAACTGTATAAATCCTATTTAAAATTGTTTATTAAACTAATAAGCTTCTTATTGAATAGTTTAAAAATTAGAAATATGGCAGCCAAATCAATCTGCTGAGTTTCACAGAAGAGTTTGATTTTATTATTAAAGCAGTTACAAAATATGTTAATATTTTTATCTTTGTTTTTGAAAGTTGATTTATAACAATTTTGATCACCACTACTTTTAAGTAATTTAAGCAAATAAAAGTTCTAACAATATTTTTTTTTAAATATTTAATCTTTACATAGTTAAAATAATTCCTGTTTACAATTATAAAATGAATTGTAATACTGTTACCACTACATAGAATCCATCAAATCGCTGCCATAACTAGAAAGCATAAAATATAGCTGTGTAAAAGTCACATCAACAAAAAAAAATTGTACCTCATTAAAAAAGTGAAAATCAGTTTTAATTTGAGTGAAATTATTTATTTTTATTCTCATGCTTGTTATCTTCGCATCTCAATTATAAGTTAAAGAAATGATTTTAAAAATTAAATTTTTTATTGTTTAATCGAAGTTTTATTTTGGAATTTATACTTTATTTTTTTACTACTTTTTAATATTAAGAAGCAAAAAAAATTTATTTATATATATATTATACAAAGTAAATAAACTTAACATTTTAAACTAATACTTTAATTTGAACAAATTATTTTAAAATTTTATGCTAAAAGATAAAAAAAAAAGGAAATAAAATAGTAATATATTCTCACTCTCATGAACAAAAAATTTTGATGAAAACTCTCTTTATAACCCCCTTTAATAATTAAATTGCGTTTAAGAAGAGGTGAAGAGCAGTTAATCTGAATAATATATTCCAAATTCTTTTATATCCTTATTATTTGGGCAAAGATATTTAAAACTTCATTTCAATATATTTATAATTATGTATCATGTTGTTTTAAAAATAATCTTATTATAATCTCATTCTAAAGGATGTTTACGTTTTGTTCTTATTTTTTTAGATGTTTTGTAAGTTTTTACTCATATGCCATTTTACCCTCCTGTTTTCTGTACATTTTTATGAGCACTAAAACATTAATTTCTCAGATTGATAAGTTTAATTTTTATATAATGTTTTACTGTGAATATTATTTTTAAAAATTAAATTAAAATTCCATTTTTGAAGTTAAATATTATCTGAGATAATTGTGCTCTGGTCCAGTAAGGTCCAGTAATTTAAAGAAATCATCGATCACATTTATGTATAAAAATTCTTTTATATTTTATTTAAATATATTAGAACTAGAATTTATACTTTGCATCTCTTTCATTTATAAATATTTTTTCTGGTAGAATTATAAATGTGATTAGAGATAAAAGTGAACTTATACATAATTATTAATTTAAATCAATGATTTAAGGCATTAATTTTTTAAAATGCGTCATTAATGATTTTATTTGAGAAATTTTCAGGATTTTTGAGTTGGGCTCACAATCACCCTTGATATTATATTACGATGAATTATTTGTTTTTCTTTTTGAAAATATGCATTTAATTATTTCAACAATACCATATTTCGAGAAGTAAAACAAATTCATAAGAATAGGTCCCTTATAAACACTGTTTTCTCGTTTAACAACTCAAAGCAATTTATAGTGCAAATCAAAATGCAGTTTTCCTTGTGCAAAACTGTTATAAATTTGAATGTTAAAGAGTTTGGCTTTTGTAATCTTATATAACTTTACAAAATTTTATTTAAATTTTTCTTTAAATCTAAACATTTATATTTATTCTTACAGTGTCTTTATACCTTTCAAGTCTGCACCTCCTTCAAATTCAACAGAGTGGGGGAAAATGGAATTTTTGATTAAGGAATTATACAAAAGTAGTATGTAATTTTTTGATGCTCGTTCTTTAAATTGAGAGATAAATTTATTTATTTATTTAAAAAAATGACTTAAATTGATTAGCTTCAAATTAGTCAAATATAAGTATTTATTACACATTTTTTAAAAATGCATTTAAATGTTATATAGTTATTGGTGTTACACGTTATAATCAATAAAAAAAGAATTATAATGAAGAAAACAGCTTCAAATATGATATTTATAAACAGGAAATAAAAATTTTGCACTCAGGTTAGAACAAGTGAAATTAAAATAGCATTTGACAGGTTTAAATTAAATGTAATTCTTGTTTAAAGTGTTTTAATATTTCAGGTTTTAGATCCAGAAGTGTGGAAAATCCATTTGCATAGATGATTAGCCGAACTATAAATCTGGATTTAAATTTTAAAGTTTTTGTTATTCTAACATAAATTAGTGGTTAGTCTTAAGCAAACTTCAACTCAAAGATTTAACTATTAAAATTATGTAATTACAAATTTTACTATTAAATAAAAATTTTTGTCAATTATTATCTTGTGATTATTAATTTTTTGACTAGCATTCTAATTATAGCAAATGAAAGGGCAAAAATGATAGTTGAAAGAACCTGTTTTATATCTGACATTATTGTTGTGTACTTATCACTGTATTGTTCAACAAAAATACTTATTACTGATTCTAAAAACTAATCTCTTTTTATATTGTTATTTTTAAGTTTACCTTGGTAATTCTTATTCTATTGTTGTAGGAGGAAAAGATGCTGTCTCATTTGTTGTAAATGTTATCACAATATATGGCATGATGAATCTCATATTATATACTGTAAGTTATCAAATGATTAATTACTTTGTAAGTTATTAAATAACATTTTCTTCCACAAAATAATTGAATAACATGACATTATAATTTAATTATTTTGTTAGAATTATTTAATTAAATGTTATTTTATTAATTATAAATATTTTTTTCTTATAACATATTTTTAATTATATTTTTGTTATGCATAGGCGAGTCCAAAGAGTAATAACAGAGGAAGAAATGGATGGTTATTAAATTCATAAAATTTTAAGCTAGTGCAGTGATTATACTTCCATTTTAATTGGAATAATAAAAGTTCTCTTAAATTGTAACTTTGCTTAAACTATTCAATTGATTTATTTTTAAAAAAAACGTTTCGTTTTGATGTAATAATTGAAATTTAGCAATGAATAAAAGAAAAGTGCGTACTTTATAATTTTGAAAACTTTATTGTTGATTAAATAAATAAAAATTTAAACATGCATTTGAAATAAATTAGCTTTAAAACATTAAATTTTATAATTTGATCCGCCAATTTAATTCCAGAAATATAGCATGAAAAAGAAGATTGGCAAAAAAAAATTTTCAATCGACTATTAGTTTGGCCGCTCATAAATTACGGTTACAAAAAAAAAAAGAAGAAAATCTAGAAATAGAATTTAGGAAAGTCATGTTCTCTTCTCTTATTTTTAAATTTTAATAATAGTGAATTGAACCCTTTGATGCAAATGGGACATTGCTGTCCCATTTATATATTTTTCCAATTTATTGTATATTTTTTTCCTTTCCTATATATATATTTTTTTCCTTTCCTATATATATATTTTTCCCATTTATATTTTTTTTTTCCTTTCCTATATATATATTTTTCCTTTTAAAAATATATTTTGATATTTTTTAATTATGAAAAACAGCCAGATAGTTAACAAAAATAATCTGCTAGATTATCAAGATTATAATAGTACTAAAATATAAAATAAAAAAAAGTAGCTCGAAAGAAAAAATCTACGTTCATTTTCAAAAATTTATCAATAATTGATTTTGTTGTTTAATTAAATTTCAATAATGAATAAATGTTTCTTTTGGATATATTAAACTGCAAATAAGTTCAAATTTGAAAAATAATTGTTTGGAAGTGAGCCATATTTTGAAAATTTTACCTGAAAAAACACCGGTATTTCATGCTGTTATTCATAACCATAAATTATTAAAATTTTAAATATAATATTTTTTATTTATTTTGACCTAAATTAATACAAAATGATGAAAAATATGTTTAATAAAATCCAGTATCAATAGGTTAAACTATTTAAAAGAATATATATATTCTTTTATTATTGACTATTACTGACAGATATCTTATATAAACAACTTTTTTTTAAATATATGTATGTATATAGAGACACATAAACTGGTTTGTTAAAAAATGTTGTCAATAATTTTTCTCATTACAGAGTGTGGGTTTAGCTTCATTTCCTATAAATATGATTAAAGGATTTCGTTCTTTAACTGAAGAGGAAGCACTTTTATCTGATACCCAAGCTACTACTCAAACTAAAATAAATGCACTTCGAAGCAAGGTAGGTAATGAGTTTATTATTTAATAAGATTTCTTGATATCAAATGTCCCAAAGATGACCAACTTTATGAAGAAAAATCGTTTTTAAAAAAAAATGGAACACAAAATTGTCTAGTTAGCTATGTTCTAAGAAAACCAAAGAATGCAATTTTAAAAAGTTTCAAAATTATGTGACATAATTTGTTGCTAATTTTAAGATTTTTTGGTTATAAATAACTGGTTTTCTAAGCAGGAGGAAGAAAATCATGCATTTCCCTCTCCTTTTATTCCTATTTCTTTTTAGCTCACTTTTCAAATAGTTAGTCATATTTTTGACTTTTAGTATATGATTCTTAATTTAATTTATTTATGTATGTATGGACATTTGTTTTGTCATAATTTAAGTGCTCGGTGTTAAAATGTTATTCTATTCAGTCTAATATTTATTTCTAAAGCATGTCAGTTATAATTTTTTCTATATCTAAATTTTAAGAAATATTCATTTTATAATTCTTAAATTTTTTTTTCAAAGCAATCTAAAAGGCAGTTGACATCTAGGGAAGTTGGTGAGTTAGCTGATTTGGAAGAAGAAGTGAGCCTAATTTCAAGACGGTCATCAGTTCTAGAAAGTGAAAAAAGAAGATTATATAACAAATGTGGACCATGCATACGGATTTTAAATGGGTCATTTGGGATTATTGGCCTTATTTTCTCATTGACGTTTTTTATTTCACTGCTCATATGCAAGTAAGGAATAAGTATAAAAATAAATAAATAAAAAACTTCTTTTGATACATTTTAATACATGTCTTTTTATTTTTGCATGCATCCTATTCTATTTATTTTATTTGTATTATTCTATTTATATTTTTCTAATTACATTTTATTTAATATCCTGCTCATTTTAAATAATATTTAGTTTTATAAAAAAAATTCCATTTTCAGTTATTTATTTCAGTTAGTTCAATGAAACTTCAGTAGATTTAAATCTTTTGACTTGTTTCTTTGAGTACATTAAATTTTAGTTTGATGCAATATTTCTAATTCTAGTTCTATTGTTTATACTTCAGCTTGCTTCTTATGAACTAAAAAATGAAATTTTTAAAAAATACTTTTTTAAACTATGATTTGTGGATTTTTTTTTATTTAATTTATTTTGATTAATTTATGAATGTTAGCTAGCATTTTTTTAAACTTGTATTAATTATTTTTATTAAATTTTCTTTTCAAGCATGTTCGTAATTAAATATGTAAGATTGTGTAGTTGCTTTATTATTACTTTCATTGCATTCCAGCGTCTATTATATCTTTCTGTTCTGTTGCTATGTCGTATTTTTTTTGTAGTTGATGAATATATCTGTCTTTTAGCATTGATAAGATTGTAAACTCACTTGGTATGAAGATGGGCTATATTTTGAAAGAAAATATGATGCCTAATCCATTAGATTTTATTATGGTTCAAGCTCAGAAGGTATTGTTCATTATTCTTATTCATTTAAACTTTATTTTCTTAACATTTGATTTAAAAGTATTTTTATTGTGATATTAATCTATGCGCTTTAATGCAACAAAATATTTAATATTTTATCAAGAATGATGCATTTATTCCAATGCTCCTCTAACTTCTTCTGATATTGATACTGTAAACATTTTGATGGCATTATGAAATTATTTTAAGAAACTTTATAAACGTATTTTATTTTAAAATCATGCATTTTTACTATTTTATAAAAAAGTTTTTTAATTGTGAAATCTTAAAAAAAAAATTATATTCCAATATGCTATAATCATTATTATCAGCAATGTTTCAGTCAGTATTTAATATTAAAATGGGAAATTGTAGTGATAATAATAATTTTTTCAGATCTTTCCTCTTGATTATGTTTTGTTCTTCCTTATAATTTTGTTTCTTGTGATCTGCACTGTATCTGGTATGCGGTTTCTTGGCATTTGTTGCTTTTGCATTCCAGTAAGTATTTTTATTATTTCTCAATATTATACTTTTGATAATCCATTTACTTATAGACTTTTATTTATAGATGTATAAAGTTAGGCCAGGACGAACGCCACCTCAAGGGTTGATTATGCTCGCTTTCATTCTTATGTTTGCTGTTCTAGCATTCCACATACTGTTATACTTAGTTCTTCCTACTTACACTACTTTCGGCAGCCAGTATTATTGCAAAGTGAGTAATTTATATTTATTATTTTCACATTAATGTTAGTGTATTTATATGTTATATGTAATGTGGGCTATTATTGTTAGTTGAATTAATATAGTACTAAAACTTTAAAGTTAACTTGATAATTCTTATAATAATAATAATTTTACCTGCAATTTTTAAAATTCTCGTCTTAGATATACCTTCTAATCAATGTCTTTTTTTCTTCTTTTTTGTCACAAGGAATATCAAAAATATTACGCTTTGTACTGTAATAAATATGAAATGATTGTTGCAATATTTATTTAATTAAAACTTTCATTTACCAAATAAAATTTTTAATTTTACTACTCATTTTCTCAATGTCACCCTGTTTAATTTTACTCAAATAATGCTCTTTTGTTCAGCTTTAATTTCCTTATTGTTTGATGCTGTAATTGTCTCCCTGAAGCAGAAGTTTAGCAACATTACTCATGCCACCAAGCCACAGATATCCATCCATTGGATGGTCTACTTTTACACATCACACAACAGAAGACAAACACAGAGAAACAAACATCTTTGAACAGGATTTGAACCAGCAATCATTTGCTTTCCATTTTGTCACCGTGACATCTCAGCCCCTGGCTGACTAACAAATAATATTAATTACAGAATAAATTATAATTTGTTACAAAAATTTAATTTTGAGCTGATTAGTTAAAAAACCGTATGTATTTAGTTATTGATGCACGTCAAGTATATATTACAAATAATATCTTAAAATACCATCTCGCAGGTATATTTTTACATTTAGAAAACTTAACATTATATTCATAAAAACATTTTAAAATTCATTGTTATGCTTGCGAACCTCTTTGTTTCAAAAGTCCCTTTTATCGATATTGTCAACTTGCTAAGTGATTTTGATTAACTTTTACCCAATTCAGTGAAATAAAGGTCAACTTATGAAGGTGGTGAATTTGACTGATTTCACTGTACTTGAATATGGTAGAAGTAAAAAATTAATAATCAAATACATGCCATCAATTATAAAAATTGAGGAAATTTTATTGAATCGGTTAAGAATAATTACGTTTGTGGCTTTGATTTTTTTGAAAAACTTACGAACTATTGCTGCTGTATAATTTGTGACCTCAAAATGTGTATTTTCCCAGATGTATTTTAACCAGATTCCTTATCCTTATGTTTCAGCCTGGAAACTCAACATGTGATCTTAAACCTTGTACTCTTGATGCTTCACCTGGTAAACTTTCGTTTTTACAAGTTTATATTATTGATTATTTTATTGAAAGTGTTTTATTATGCTACTAATGTAAATATGCATTCTTTTAATATATGCAGATGATTGTGTCATGACCAGAGGAGCCTCTTTTGTTTTAAGTTTTGCATACAAAGCTTGGATCTTTGCTGCCGTTTATTACTGGCTATCCTGGGTATTCTTAGGGGTAAGAATGTCCTTAGGAATTCACTGTTGTTTACTTCAAATGTTGACATTTATTTGTTTATGTACTAACTTTGCTGTTTGTTTAACTGAATGAGCATTTGCTAAGACAGCAGTTCCCAAAAAGTGTTCCGTTGAACCCTAGAATTCCCTGGAAGGAGGGGAGGGATTCTTAGAGTTAGGATATTTTTAATCAGTAATAAAATATTTGCATATAATCAATAGTCCATAATTTATTAAACATTTTGCTTGTTTATATGAACTTTATGTAAAGTGCTAATGAATTTATGAATATCAAAATGCTGAATTTTTTAATAAATTTGTCCCAGATGCATTGCTGTTATAAAGCTGCATGAAAAATTAAAGCTTAATTTCTAGCTTTTTTTTATCAGTTTAGGGTGGAAATTTATCAAGCATTCTTGGGTATTTGGCAAAATAACAATTGTTATTTAATGTTGACAAAGGACTTTCTTCTTTAAGTTACTTAGCATAATTTCTTGTTAATAACTGAAGCATAAGTTTAAATCTCATAATTTACACCATTCACTGTAGCAGTTTGTATTTGGTGTCTCATAATAACTTTTCTACTCTTAATATTTCTACAATTTTAGTTAAATTTGAAATTGAAAACTTGCACATTAAGAGTCCCAAATTTATACTTAAGTAAGGAAAAAAAAAATATTCAAAAGAATCATACTCAAGTTTAAAGTGACAATTTATTTGTTAGATATTACTAAAAGACTACTAATTTCTATTAGGTAGAATAATTATTAATAACAAAAAAGTTTATACAGTTACTTAAGCAAACTACATCTAACAAATAAACTGATTTTAATATATTTTTTTACCATCTCTCTTACATATTTTATTTGTAACCATTAATGTCAACTGACTTAATTTTTGGCAATTATTTTAAAAGTATATGATGAGGGTAATCCAGAACACCCTGAATATTTGTAAAATAGATTTATTAGCAAACCAGTTTTTTATTCTTGTTATTTGCACCACATTCCATAATTGTCTAAAAATTGGTATGTTTATGTTATAAATATTTTATACTGAAAAGTTTTTAAGTTTACATTTTTCTGTAGAAAAGTACAAATATTATTTTGTGTATTTTATTCACATGATAGAATGGTTTTTGTAAAATAACTTATTATTCAAATTTTACTTAACTTAAAGAAAAAATCACATTGAGAAAATATTATCAATGGCATGTTTGGATATTGTTTATTTGAAAAATCATATTGCATATGATTGTTTTCGATTATTATAGCAATACTCTTTTGGGGAATTTGCACTTTTATGTGTATGTGTAAAAAATCTTAAGCATATATTTTACATTTGTGCGTTTAAAATCGGACGAAACTTTGAATTTCATATTTTTGCTGAGCTTTAATCTAACATACATTAATAACAAGTTTTATTTATATAGTGTGTATACACAACCTAATAGAATCTACACTGATGCTTAAAATGAAGAGAATTTGCATATTTCGTTTAATGCGTTTCTGAAAACAGCGAAAGCAAAATGTAAGACTAATGTTTTGAAACAAAGATGTAAATCTTATATGTCAAATGGGTATGCATATAGATGTGTGCATATGTAGCTAACAGAGTAATAGACTTAATAAGCCTGCATAGCAAAATCTGAAATTCGCATATCTTTGTTGAATTTTTTGGTGCTTTTTGCAGCAATCTTAACCAATTCTTTAAATTTAACTTCAAGGAAAAATGAGTAAATACCAACGTTTAGTTAATGGAATGAGTTGGCGAAATGTGGGGAGACTTGAAGCAGGCCAGTCTCAATTCCAGGTTTTTAGAGAATTCAGTTTATTGGTGAGCATTGTGTACAATTTATAGAAACAATTTCAGGATTCTGGATCTGTCAGGAGAAAGACTGACCAGCGTAGATCGATATTTGTCGATTGCAGCAAAGGGGGTGCTACAGCTTCTCAGTTCTTTTGTAATCTTTCAACTAAGGTTTGCTGCTCTTAGCAAGTATAATGCTGGATTCCCACACATCCCTCCATGTCTTTGAAAGAGATACTATGACTGGTTGTAGGTATAAGGATAAGATTTTGGACCCCTTTGTTCACCTTTTCTGGAGGGCAGTGGACCCTGATTTAATTTTAATGGAAAACAATCCAACACTACACAAAGCACTTCTAGTCACCCATTTTCTTGAAAATGAATATATTTACAAGATGGATTGGCCAGCCAGGTCTCAAACTCTATAGAGCATGTCTGGGATGGATAATTGCTAAATGTAATATCCTACTGAAAACCTTCCAACGTCTAAAAACAGCGCTACTGAGCGAGTGGGACAAACTTCCACAGAAACTCATTAACTGCCTTATTTTCAATGTGAAATCAAGGTTTGAAGCCTTTTTGGCTGCACGAGGGAGCCATATCCTCTATTAAACCATTTTTTTTATTCAATTCTGTAACCACTCTTCGATACCATCCAACTCTGATGAGAGTTTTTGCACGATTATGAGTGTGTATTATAACCGTTGAATGGTTATTATTTTAATATTGTATCAGCCTATAGTCAAACCAAATTTTGTTACAATGTATCCAGTACTTCTTTAAAAAATCGATCAAACATAAACTTTCTCAATTTTGAATACCAGTGTTTAAACATAATCTCAATAAAAAAATTTTACTGTGTCTTAATCAAATCTTACTTTATGATTTGTAATTAGATATTATGTATAATGATAATGATGATTCATGTTTAATTTAATTACATAAGTAATATAAATGACGTGAAGGTAATACTTCAATTTTTAGTTAAAGTTAAAATAATAACGTATCTTAAATTATAATTTCTGAAATAAGACTTAAACTGTTAACTACTAGTTAGTGTTTCAGGGCAAAGGTGCATTCTGACACATTTTTGAGAAAGAAACTTTATATTTTTAACTTCTATTAATTTATCACTTTATTTTTTTTTTAAAAAATCATTTAAAAAAATTTGTTGGTGTGAAAGTTTTATAACTTATACCTAATATAAACATAGTTTTATTTTTATTTATTTTTTTTTTTTTTTTTTTTTTTTTTTTTTTTTTTTTTTTTTTTNTTTTTTTTTTTTTTTTTTTTTTTTTTTTTTGATAAAGTCTTCAAATTTACACAAAAAAAATTGAATTGAATTTTCTTTTCAGACATTTGTACTAAGTTTTGTTGTTGTACTGATTCGTTCTCGGCGCTCATCTCTTGAAGAGGCAGTGGATAAAGATGATTTTGACGATAGTGATGAACCAATGGTTCGAATATAAAATCCGGAGGAAATTTAGCTTTTTACATTTTTTGTTGGCTTGAACAACTTTCTTTTTAGTTGATATAGAAATGCTTATTTATTAAAGGATTAAAAAGATGAGTGTAAATAAATGTATTTATAGTATCTATTTGTATTTTTTTGCCTGTTTTTCTTCTTTCTTTTTTTTTAGCCAGTGACTTTAATAATTATATTTTGATATTGTTTTACATTTAATTATGTTATGTAAACCAATTTCTAATTGTTTTATTTTCAAAGCTATTCTGACTTCTTAATATTTTTTAATTAAAAAATTTAATAAAATAAAATGCCTTATTTTGGTCAGAAAAAATCATTACTCTTTTATGGAAATTATTTGTGCTTGCGTTACCCCTATAGTAATTTATTTAATAACTCTTGAAATGTACATTTTTACTATCACAAATAGATAAATGTATTGTATATGATATCTTAAAATTGATCAAACTGGTTTTGTTTATTTCATAAAAATTAATATGAATCTTTTTTCTATGAACATGTTTTTCGTCGCATTAATCTAACAAAATATTTTATAGAGTTAGAAAATCCTTTTGTATATTTAAAATATTTATTTTCACAAATCAGATAAATTTTTAAAACATTAAAAATGTGTTTTACTTCAAAATGTGTTTTGGGAAATAAGGCCTCAATTATGTTTCTCATTTAAAATATTTAGATTAATTTTAACTACTTTTGAGTGCTTTTTATGTGTGTGGTAAAATGATTATTTTTTTTTCCTGTAGTCCAAACTTCCACTTTTGGAGATCGCAATTTGTTATCATTATTTATAATAATAGTTTTCTAGTCATGAATTTTCAGCTCATAGCTTTTAAGTCTGAAAGCTGTACTGAGAACAAAAGAAAAAAGAACTTTCTAATTCATGAATTGTCTAAATTATACTTGTTTTTTATTCTTGCATACCTGTTTGATTAGAAATTATTTGTATATTGTGTTAATCAGTGAACTAACATATTGTTAAATCAATGTTACTCTATTATTAATTACTTGGTTAATGGACTGTAAATAACAAACATGTATTTATAGTCAATTATTATTAATTTGAAACATATATCATGTTTTCACTTTTCAGCAGTTTCACCAGTGAAAAAAATTTCTCATCTGTTCACCATTTCCCTATTTAAATACAGTAGGGAACCGATTATCCGGAACGATCGGGACCATCGCTATTCCGGATAACTGATTTTTGCGGTTTTCTGAATCGCTACACAAAGCCGTTTTTTTTATTGTATAACCCAACTAAAAAAAAAATTTTTTTTTGGAAATAATCTTAAAAAGAAGAAAAAACGATGAAGTAATACACTAATGATTATTTCCAAAATGATAGTAAGGTGAAAATCTTTCAAAAAAGAAAGAAAAATCCTAAAATCTTAAGAGGAAAAAAAAAAAATTTTTTTAAATGGCGGGAAAATTTATCGAATTTCGTTCCGGTTTTTTGGTTTTCCGGTTTTCTGATTTCCGGATAACAGGTTCTGTACTGTATCACCATTTTTCTATTGATAGATTTCTAAATATCCATAGGTGAAATATTCTCCATTTCCTACTTAACAAACTATTAATAATTATTTTATTACATTGTAAAACTGGCTCAACTGTGTTAAAAAGAATGCAGGTCAAAATGTGATTTTATATATATTGTGTAGAACTGTTAAAATCGTTATGAGTATTATTGAATTTTATATGTAAAAGAAATATATATAGTGTTATAATTGATATGTTGTTAAAAGTGTGCTCACTGCAAATAGTTTAGTTTTCATTGATAGCAGTATTATTCTTTTTTTAATGTAATTTCGCATTACTTAGATGAACAAAAAAGGCAAATTCTGTGAGAATAATAGGGATGTGTTTCTTGAAATTTTTCAATATTTTAATTTATTTTGTTTTAGATGGCTTGTCTTAAAAATATTGAACAGCTGATTGGTAAAAATTCGTGAAGTAAATCTTTTATAAGAAATTTCTTTAATTTTTGTCATTTACCCAATATTTATCATTTGCTTTAAATTTATCTCTTACAAAAGGTTATTTAAAATAAACTTTTTTATTTTAAACAAAAGTATAGATAAAAAAAACGACTTATTGTTAAAGTTTTGAAAGATACTTTATTTAAATGAGGGGATAGATCTAATAATCCTAAATTTGAGGAATTAATCCTAAATATTTAGTAGCTGTATATCGTAAAGTTTTAAGAATAGATCGTAATAGTAAACAATAGATAATTGTTGATTTTTGGGATTAAATCTTAAATATTAAAGTCACATATTTTTACATTAGTTGCTTTAGGTACTAGTGCCAATTTTTGCATTAGATTTTATAGTGATCTGATTTTGGTCTAGCAATAATACTCAATTGTTAATTATTGCAAATGTTTGATTTTTTACTCAATGTTTACTAAAAGCTCTTGCGGATATGTTCTGTGAAACCTTGCTTGTTGAAATTTTGGAGTATTTTATTGTGTAATGTATATTACAGTATGTATATAGTTGAAGTTCAATAATGTAGCTCTATTCTTTGTAAATATTTAAATTAAAAAAAAGATTACTGAATTTTTCTATTTTTGTTTTATTTCTTTTACAACATTCACAATGTAAGCATATTTTATAACTTCATTATAACAATTCTGCAAGAATATTTTAAGTAAAGTCGATTTAAGATTCTACAGTTACTTTTATACCTTACAAAAGTAAGTTAAATTAATATGTTGTAACCGATGTTCGAATATAAGCTTTATTAAACTTGTCGATGAAATTGTGATATATGCACATAAGTAAAACAATTGGCATAATTTTATGTTGTAAGATTATTTTCATATGGTTCTGTTTCTCTCCTATTTTTGCTGTATTTTAATTACTTATTACAAATTGAAGCGTCCACATGCCTAACCTTTAGATTAATTTAAATATGATATACTTTGTACTGTAATATATTTGAAGTTATAAATTCTTTTGTGTTTCATTGGTTTCCCCTTGTAACGTTAAAATGTACTGTCATTTTCGACAAAAATATTGAGGCCTGGAAAACATAGGTATATAGTTATAACTTATATATAATTAAATTAATTTCTACAGTGTCCTTTGTATCATTAAAATTCATTCATATTAATATTTTTAAGTAAAATATGAGATTTAAGTAAAATATTCAGACAGAATTGCTGCATAATCTCAAAGTATTTTACTGAATTAATCCTGAATAAATAAATCCTGAGCGTGGGTGACTAGAGCAATCTTTACAGCCATTAATATCCAATAATCGATTTATAGCTCTATTTATAATATAAATAGATGTTCTTCTAAACTCAAAAGATTTCAATTGCTTAAAAATATGTATGCAGAGAATCTGCGATCAAAAAGTTGTTTAACCATCTACCTTTTATATTCCATCTTTAAACTGATTCTAAGTATTTTGCTTTAAACTTATAGAAAATGCCATTCACTGAAATACAAAAGTCGACTGTTAAAATGAACTATTTTTTTAGTGTTAAGTATTTGGCAAAGTTATTGCTTAATGTTATTAACCATAACTCCTAAATGTTATTAACCATTTAAAAAATCACCAAGGTATCATTTTAAGGAATTGTAAAAATATGTTTCAAAATCATAAGTATTTAAACTTAATTTTGTGAAATTAATCCATTTATTATTCCCGTTACTTAAAATATGATATTTTATGTAAAATTTAAAATTTCGTGCCATTATTAAAACTCTAAAGACTATTTAATGTATAAGACTATTTGATGAAATAGTTTTTGTTAAAAATATTATTCAAAAAATTAAGATTTGATGCACAGTTTTCATAATTTCTAAATTGTTTCCCAATACCTTAAAATACTGCTACATTTTTACTGTTCATATAATTTTAGGTTGAATAATATAGAATGATTTTTAAACATGATAACATACACTGGTATGCCAAAATTAAGGATGAATTGGTTTTTCGAATGTAAGTTTGAACAGCAATGTTGACAATCAATAAAAAAAATATCATAAATAGGATCCTCAAAATGCAGAAATACGGGAAAGTAAACAACTTGTAAAAAAAATGTAACCCACGGGTACAATAGGGAACTTTATTGAAGTATAGGATTAAAATACAGTAGGGAACCGATTATCCGGAACGATCGGGACCATCACTATTCCGGATAACTGATTTTTCCGGAGTCGCTACAAAAAGCCGTTTTTTTTATTGTTAAACCCAACTAAAAAAAATTTTTTTTTGGAAATAATCTTAGAAAAAAGAAAAAACGATGGAGTAATACACTAATGATTATTTCCAAAATGATGGTAAGGTAAACATCTTTCAAAAAAGAAAGAAAAGTTCTAAAATATTATGAGGAAAAAAATTTTTTTTTTTAAAATGGCGGGAAAATTTATCGAATTTCGTTCCGGTTTTTTGGTTTTCTGATTTCCGGATAACGGGTTCTGTACTGTACATTTGAACAATATTTTAAAAACGTCAATGTTACACGGGATTGGCAAGGAAATTCCAGCCTTTTATATGGGATATGATCACCTCTGACGGCTACGCAGGACTGACATCGTCTGCTCATGCTGAGGACTAGGTTGTTAAGAAGCTCTTGAGGAATTGTTGCCCATTCCTGTTGTAGTGCTAATCGCATCTGTGGAATCGTTGCTGGGAACGTGTTACCAAGCGTCTCACTAAAGTGTTCCCTTACGCATTCAATCGGATTGAAATCCGAGGACCTCGCCGGTCATTCCATGCGTGCAGGGCCGGATTAACCTATAGGCACGTGCCTAGGGCCTACGAAAAACTTGGGAGAAAAAAATTTGTTGACAAGAGTAATTTAGCTTTAAAAACAACAAGTGTATTTTGCACAAAATTATAAAGATACATTGCAGATAAAGTTCGGTATTGCATATAAAGTTCGGTCCCGCAGTGGACTGATCGTTAAGACACGGTTCCCAGCAGATCACCGAAGTCAAGCATCACTGGCTACGGTCAGTGTGCGGGTGGGTGACCACTTGGATCAGTCTGCGTAGGGACCGAGGGTGTGCGGTATTGGTCCTCGTTAAACTGTGCTTCTGTAAAGTGCTCGACTTCGCGCGCAGGTCGTCGGGCTACCGAAGCGGGGGTGC